ACTATTACTTTTTCTTAAAACAAAAACACCACCTTGATAACGGGGAGTTGATCTACATTGACAGCATTATTGAGACGCATTAATCTCAGACGTATACCTTTGCTAAAGATGGAACAAACAGTGTAACAAGTTTCTCATTTAAACAATAAATCATCCTGCCATTTCAACAGCTGTTTCAGTAATTTCCTCTGCCAACTGGTTAGGTGAAGTTACTGTTAGTGTTTTTCATTGCAGAAGCACCTGGCTTTCACTTGTAGAGATAAACAAAAATAGTTTGGATCAATCAACTATAGGAATATAGTTACAGCCCTTTCAAAAGATGGGATGTTCCTTTACAGTAAGGAAACATTTCCTAGCTCTTTAAATATTTTAATACTACCCCCAAAATACAGAATTACATATTCATGACCAAAAAGACTCATAATTTACTTTTCTAGAAGCTGGTAGATATTAGCTAAATTCATGTAAATAGATCTACCAGATACATCAGTGCTTTTAGAGGTATAAAACAAACTCAGGCTCTGCAGACCACTATACTTCAAGACATACTACAAAAGAAAGGATCACTTACTACATCCCAAGATGTAGTTCCTAAATACATAATTGTTACCAATATACTAAAGAAATTTCACTAAGTTCAAAGCAAATTACTGTAGTACTCATACTACATTACCATACTAAATTTGGGACATTTTCCTTTACACAGATGGCCAAATTCCAGCTATTGCAAGCTCAAATAATTAAAAAAGCAGCATCTCATGAGGAAGTACAAACAAGAAACAAAAATCACGAGGTGGTAATGTTACTGTGCGTAAGCTGGCTTTTTCAACTCAAATTTGTCTCAGTGAAGTGCAATACCTGGAATCTTACTAATTCTGTTCATTAACAATTATGTCAATTACTCCCTATAAATCAATTTTTCATAACCCATTTCTCTCATATGAAGGCTCTTGGGTTCTGCAAGCCTTTGAAGTAAAAAGGGACAGCACACTTTAAAATGAGATGATTTTCAATGCAGAGGTGTCGTTTACCAGCTGAAACTATGCAATCCCAAGAGATTTAAGAAATGAAAGAACAGAAGACGTACTAGAATACGAACTTTAATCTCCTTGTGACTGTACTTTGAGTTAATAAATTGTGACTGATGGGGGAGGCAGAAGCGGAGTTGATGAAGTAGGAAAGACAGCTCAGTCTCTGAAATATGCTTCCTAAAGAACCTTCAAGATTGATTCAAAACTTGAAATTTTCTTTCTATGTTAAGACCACCTAAAATATCTCATACTCTTCCCTCCATCCCCCCAGAGTTTAAGAAAACCTCTCAGGGGGTAGCAGTAAGACCACAAGTGAAGGAAATTAAAGAATAAACAAAAACCACTAGTTAAGATAGAGCAATTTTTTCTAAGCACAAAACTTCAAAAAAATTTAAGCAAAATACACAGATGCAAGAGGCAACATTTAAATTCTAAATTAAAGACACTGTTGTAGCCCATCCATAATCTGCCCATCATCAGGCTTTCGAATCTCAGTATGATAACCATCCCTTACTTTGATACCAAGAGTGCAATGAATCTACTACAAACTTAATTAGAGACTTCTCATTACTTCTAAGTAAATATTACATGAAATCTTACTGAAACGTAATATAAAATATTACCGAAATTAGGCATCTGAGTCTAAATCCATGATAATAAAGTTCAGGGCTTATACTGATCCCAGTAACTTCCTTCAACATATGAGTTGAATTAACGGTCTCCTATTCATCTCCTATGATTTACTTTGTATTTATCTAGACAGCGTGTGCACTAACAAAGTGCTAAGAATCAGTTTAATCAAAATTAATGTTACGATGTGAATAACCATTCTCTCAATTAGTCTACGAATTCTATCAAGACACTATAGTAACTGCACAGCTATTTTAATAACTGAATATTTAGTGATATAAGGGACACTTTACATCACAGTGGTAAAATTCAGATTCAAAAATATACACATATGCAAAAAAAAAAAAATCACATACCGTACACAGATCTTTGTACTGTAGCTTCTGAAACTTGGTGTCTGTGTTTCCTGCACAGAGCTCCACATATCCAAGGACTACTTGAAACACAGTGTTGTGAATGGCTTGAGTGAAGTGCATATGTAGCTGGTCCATTGCTGTCTGAAAGAAAAGGAGGAACATAAAATCAAAAAGGCGGATTCAATTTGTCATATGTCATAGCCTTCTGCTTTAAGTTTCTTCCTCGTACTGGAAATGGGAGACTGTAAGTATGGCCTCCAATCTTCATTTGAAAAGAATCTAACATAAGACCTAACAATATTAAAATACAGCAAGGCAAAAGAGCTCAGGTGTTACTAGGAAAATCAGTTTCCCCTGCCTTCCTTCTTCTATAACTGATCAGTTTCCTGACTTTATCACAAGTAAAAAGCCATTCATTCATCTTCACATTCACCGAGCAATACATCAAAAAGCACTTGGTTGAGATCAATGCTATTTTCCCCACTGGAAACACTTCCAACTAAAAGGAAAATATTTCCTTTTTACTTAAGGAAACTAAAACCACAAATTAAAAGTCTTTAATACATTCATTTGGCATACTGATTTCCTTGAAGGACATAATGCTTAAGTATTACAGACAGGCTTACTAATGGACTTATTAAACCCTTATTCACAATAAAAACAAAATATAAAATTTGTTTAGCAAAGCTTACTTTCTTCCAGAAAATCAAAAAGGATAGTTACATGTATTAAAAAGTAATATTATAATCATATAAGCTTTTCTATAATCAAGTCTGAGTTTCAGGTCGGGCTGTTTCCTGAATTAATCCTTTTTAAGAAATTGAACATGACATTAGTCCATTTCAGACAGCCTGAAACTTCTCATTGTTTCAAGATTTGCTAATATTCAGTATATATGGCAGAAAAGAATTGACGAAAAAGTATTTTATATTCTGGAATGTAAGTTATGAGGTCCTGCAGATTTCAAAGTGTTCGGTTTCACTACTTGCTATTTGATATTCTTCTCAGCTACTGGCAAGAGAACTTCATTTCTGCCATAAGAAATGAACAAGCAATTCTGCTTCTATCCAATTCAAAACAGAATTGCAAATAAACATTATTTTACTACCAGCTAGTCCTAACTTGAATCAGTCAGGCAAAGATAACAGAACGACAAATGAAAATAAGAGATTGAGTACTGAAGTTTCTCGTGAATTTGGTTAATGACAAGGGGTCAAAATGGGAGAGACTTCAATAATGATGCAATTAAATTTTTTTGCAGAATAAGTTCAAAGTGCATCCTTTAATAATAACAAAAGAAAAGCCAAAAGCAAGTCACACTTCCACGAAAAGAGAGAGCAACTAAAACTGTGCAGTAACAAATAATACTGCTCTTTTGTTTTGTTCGGAAACTTAGTTTCTCTTCAACAACAATCTGCCTTTCTCAACATATACACTAGAGTTCAAAGCAGCGCATGTATTACATCTGCTTTTAAAGTTTCTGATTCAATAAATAAAGAGACTGCATACAAACTACTAGCAAAAGAAAAGTCTAATCGATCTGCTCCTTGATGTTAGGTTGCAGGCTTCAGGCATTCCAATAATTCTGCACGTTTTTCAAAGCACAGAAAGAGAAATCAATTCATCTTCTACTGCAAAGTTACACTGTTATCACAGTCAAGCCACAGAAAGTGAGCCCAACTTTGCTTGAAAGGTTCTAATTAGAAAGAAACAGATGAACAAAAGTAAAAACGATTAAAAGCAAAACCAAAAAAATGCATCTTAACATCAGCCACACTTCTGAATATTGGCAAACAACATTAAAAAACCAAAAAAGAACGAATGTAGTTTTTTTCCTGTCTTCAGAGAAAAGGCACCTGGATATGATCTTTAGCAACTAAAACTTTCTGGAAGAATCTGCTCTCTAAGCCAGGACATAATTGTCACACTGGCACCAGCATGCTTAGCCTCACCTCGTCAAATGTGGTTGCTGGTAAGAACGGCCTGCAGGACTCCCTCCCCTCCGAACCCCTTTTGCCTTCACAGCATCTGGGTGGTAGCTCCCCCCCTTAATATTTGGTTCAGAGCACAAAGGGTTCACCATGTCCCCAGAGAAATCACTCAAAGCCTCAAGACAGACATCAGCAAAAGAGAACTGCATCCTACAGGCGAGTTCAGACCTACTGCTATTTACATAAAAGGCTATAAGCTCACAGAGGTATAATTTTTAGGACATATGCACAACAGAACCCTGACGTGCCATGTTACATTTTGCTGCCCGTTCCCCCCACCCAAATCTCCTTTCCTCAAAACTCTTCATTCCTGTCATATTTGAGTACAATATAAAATGTGACTGCATACTTTAAGGTGCAGGCTGTACACAACTCAGTAATGTGGACCTAGCTAAAAAAGAAAGAAAAAGCACTCACATGCCCAAATACATTACATGCAACACTATAAACACAACCGAAACATGGATTTGTTACAGTTAAACCATGTCTAACAAACTCTATGTCGTAGTATTAAATGGTTTATCCATTGTATGAACTGAATGAAAAAATAAAATAGGACTAGGTACTTAACGACTAGCTAATAAGGCTTCTGAGAATTTGCCTGTACAACTTAATGACATAATTTTTACTTCATCCCTGTAAGATATTCAGGGATTACTGTTAAAATAACTGAGCATTATAAAAGCCCTCGTAAATACACTCAGCAGGATTCATCAGCCTTCGTCTTCCAAACTTCCACCACAGTACTCAAAGCTTCACATTGTTACACCGTGACTTATACATGACTTATACAGAGCATGAATACTAACCTGTGTTTTTCCAAGTAATCTGTAAGCTTGTTGAACCTTGGTGTAATGATTGATATCAAAGTTCTTGCATATTTTGGAGAGTGCTACATCCAATTGTTCCTATATAAACAAAGACAAAAATATGTCAAACGTTTAATAAAAAGTCAAGTAATAAATTACTTAAAACACCAGCAAATGAGTAAAGGATGTTTATTTAAGCAATGCCGGCAATTATGCCTGTAAAGCAGCCAAGACTGTACACTATAGCACTATTTTCAGGTGCTCAAACATTACTTCTTTCAGACTAAAATACTGCAGGCTGCAATTCTATTTTTTTTGGTCAGCTAAATGGCTCCATTATTTCCAAGAACAAGGACAGTAAAAAGTGTACTGCTTTGCTAAAGTCAAATTCCACGGGGCATTCACTTTGAGAAGGTCAAGCACCACAATATGGGAGAGCTTAGACTTGTAACTTGGTGGGGAAAAGGACAGTTCACTCCTACTCTTGAAGGAAATCCCCTTTGGACCAAGTTACAAAGCTCTGGGGAAAAAGTGAAAATGATCCATAGGTTTTCCAGCTTAAACAATTCGTTCATAGACTTCTGAAGCCTCAGATTCCTGTCTATAAAACAGGAATAACATCATCTGGCTTGCAAGTTCATTATGAAAAAAAATACATCACTTATGGTGTACTGTACTAGCACAATGATCAGAGTCATAGGAGAAAAGAAAACACAGGCATATGCGCACACACAAAACTACTAGTTTTGTCATCAGAGCAGTGTCTGAACAAAAATACCTAACAGCTTTGCATTAAATGAAGGCCATCCACTGTGTGAACTGAATGAAAAAATAAAATAGGACCAGGTACTTAACGACTAGCTAATAAGGCTTCTGAGAATTTGCCCGTCCAACTTAATAATATGATTTTTACTTCGTCCCTGTAAAATATTCAGGGATAGAAAATAACTAGAGTTAAGCTGTCTATCAACAATGCAAGAAAACAAACCATCAATCAATAATATATGTAGCTAGCAGATGTTTTCTCTCCTTGCTAGTCACTAAAGCCATTTCAATTATTATTAACTAAGGATCTTGCAATGCAATCTTGCTCCTGCAAGCAGAATCCACACAGAAGCTGCTTTAGTCACTATCTTTCAATTTATTCCACTGAAAAATTTTCATGAAGTACTTGATCAGTCACAAAATATCTATGGATTTCAATCCTAAAGATTTGGTTCTCACAAACTATGCATTTATTTCTCCAAAAAAAAAATTTTAAGATGACAAGCAACCTGAAGAGTCAGAACTTCTTTAAAGTATTATCATATATCGATTTCAAAAAATATTTTTTCTTCCCTTATTTCACGCAGAACAGCTGTACAAAACAGAAACAAGGATATCTCACTGACCATGGAGCTCTTAATAAGTACATTACTTTGTTTAGATTTTTCTATAGTCACCTTGAACATTATTTGTAACACAGTGCAAGAGTAACGTCAATTTAAAAAAGTAAAGTAGACAGAAAAAAGTAAAGAAATGGATATAAGCAGACTCATTCAACTATTGAGAAGAGTAATTAAAACACTAATTAGTGGAATATGAGTCTATATGAATTAGAATATATATTTCCACAGGAACACTATAAATGTCAGGATGACCTGACATCAACTTCTCCTGTATGTATAGACATAATCAATTCCAGCAGAAAACATCATACTTTTGGCGGAGGGGAAAAAAGTCATTTCTATAAATTCTCAAGTAATAAACATACCAAGGACAACTACTGAGCTAGCTCTGAATTGCTTATACCAACCAACATGGCACATTTCACCAGATTTTTGTACAGGCAGACTTTGCTCTGCAAAGCTGTTACTGAAAGGAACTAAAGATACATGTCTCCTTTTAAGCAACATCGTCTGCTCCTGCAGAACAAGTGACAAGTAAATAAAAGTAATGGGAATGAAATCTAAGTGATAAAATAATCTTGGAAAAGATGAGTTTAACACCTGGCATGGGCAGGAAGGGGAGATGAAAGTCACGTCATTGACTCTTTTGAACCAGCCATATACAGACCAGAGGCACTTATCAGTGGTACAATAAAAGAAGAAAAAAAAGCTCTGCAAGAAAGGGCAAAAGCTGAAATGAAGGAAATTTAGCAAAATTCCAGTTGTACAGAGAATTACATGATACGGTAAAATAATATATGCACTACTCTGACTTTCCAAAGAGCACAATTAGAAGAGCAGACATCTGCTGGGACAGTTAATCCAATTTCCTGCTTTACATTACATTATACATGCATACGCACTACTTATACATTATACACTTTTATATTATTAGATTTCTTAGAAAAGTTTGCCAAGCTCCAAATTATTTAGTAATGGAATTAAAAGAACTCCTCCTTGAGAAAGCTATTCCATTCTATTCTATTGTTCAAAAAAGATTTTTTTATTTAAAAAAAAAAAATCTATTTCCAGGCAGAAACTCACCATTTTATACTCATTTGTTTTGTGTTGATAACTATCTACCAACTTAAACTAATTCTCCGCCATTATGGTATTTTTGCAGCTATTCAAGCCTCACTTGCTCTGCCTTAGCGTTGGCTCTGCCCAGCAGTTCGCTGACCTCTAAAATTTCCAATGAAACTGTCATCTCCCGTGTAGCTTATCCAAAGCAACTGGCAGTAGGTTTACTGCTCATGGTTACTTTTCACAACTATTTAGAAGCAGTATACAGAATCCACAGAAGTTCACTGACTGAAAACACTGTGTACCTTCATTATGCAAACAGCATATCTTCGCTCGGGTGTTTCAAGTGCTACGTGCCTATTGCATTTGATTGCTTTACCATTTGCATTGGCACCATATATGAGCGGGCCTCACAAGTTTGTTACCTTATTACAGAACATTTAAGCAGATTTCAGCACAAAATGTTATGTGAATGGCAGTGATTACAGCATCCCAAAGATAATATTTTAAAGAAATATGTACATATTGTACCTGCTAATAACATTGCATTAAAAGGTTTTAATACCTAAAGGTTAAAATACGGAGATAGGCTAAACATCACACTATTAATGCTTACCTCTATTTGTTCCAAAGTGTCAAGCAGTTTTGAATTCAACTCACTATTAATGGGAAAAAAAAAGAATTGTTTAAAATCAAACTGCCAATCATATTAAAATTTCACACCAAGTTTCTTGTTTATAAAAAGCACATTTTCCTCCTACCAAATCACAATATTGTAATTTATCATGTATCACTAACCTGCCATTATTGTGACAGCCTAGTACCACTGCACTACTGTTACTACTGAAGGGCACTTATCTGCATTTGCAATACTCTTCACACTTAAAATTAAAATATATGTTACAGCAGCACATTATTCTAGGCTTATACTGCCAACTGTGCAAAAACGCTCTAGACAGCACCCCATCCTGCTAGGATTTACCCAACTATTCAAAGACATTCACAACTCCCAAGGAACTTGTGCTCTAAATGTTTTGATTCTGCGCTCTGGTCTAAAGGAGAACATACCTAAAAAGGTCAGGGCTGTCAGGTCTTTGTAAACTACGGCATAGTAATTTTTATCCATTGCTCCGGAAGCTTTACAGAAGTTATAGGAAAAATGATTATTCAACTTTCAAAGAAAAACAAGTCAGAACTTAACCTTACACAACTCTCAGAAAATCTTTTTAAGATCATCAGTTCACTTCTCTGAGCTGTATTTGGTATAGAAAAACTAACAAGAATAGCTACCATAAGAAGCTATTTTGGACAAAGAAGAGCACAACTGTTCCTTTCCAACAATCAGCTTTTAAAATGTTGGAACACTAGATGGGAAAAGACCCAAGCTACGGCTAATACATTTGTTTGGAAGGGTGGAAGCAACACAGAAACAGTCAGGATATTCTTTTCAGCAAGGAAACGATAAAGTTTTGATGGGATAATCCCATCACCTAGTTTCAGACAACTTCTGTGCTCTGAACCTTCTCCTAAGGGGCTTACAGTGACTACAAAGGGATTCTAGCTTCCTAAACTTAGCTCTCTCCATTTAAGTGATACACTCATCACCCTTCCTTTTTTCTGTTCTGTTAGATATCCTGGACAGAAAACCTTTCTTTGAAAGCTTTAGATAGGAAAAACTTGAAAAGAAAGAGGTGCCATTAAACCCCAGGTCTGGTACCCAAGAATTCTTTGTTGTTTATCCATATGCAACAGACTTCCAAACGGATTCTCTCTCATAACAATTTCACATTACTACAACTCCAACTAGAGTTCAGGAGCACTTCTAGTACTCTAGCTCTTTTATCTAGCAGGCGGAGGCTAGAACACGCGTCAGAATCCTGCTCCGCACACAGAAACACCCTGCTTTCCACCTTTAGAATTAGGTGGAACACACACTTATCACCTCCAGTGTATAAGAATCCAGTCAATTTATATATTGACATTAACTAGTCCAAAATATAGAAACTATTGACATGAGTGAAAAATGATGTAATTCATGGGTAATCTGTGCACAGACCGACTAATCAAGCGATTGTGCTAGTATAAATCCGATGAAAATTTACAAAGCCACAAACAGCAGCAGGTATGATAAAAATATAAGACTGCAATTGCTTTCAAATAAACGTCACGAATGTGGTGCTGCTAATCCAGCGTTTCTTTATCTTTTCTAATCAAATTAAAAACACACACGGATTTTTCACTTCCAGTGGGCACTTACATGCTTACACACGTGAAGAACTTGCTCATCTACTGCAATGCAGAGCTGAAACGCTTTCTGGGCTCCTGAAACCAAGTCTTCATTGTTGCAAGTGACCACATTTGACTTATTTCATTTGTATACTAGCATACGTCCTCATGAAAACTAGTTCCTTATTTTCACTACTTATAGAGGCAAGCCTCAGCTTGCAATTATTATAGTACATCACAGTTTCTCTTGATGCAGCACACCCATTTAAGTCCTTTGCAAAAATGCTGAAGTGTAATTTCAATGTATGCTGAACATGTTACATGTCATTATTATGGTTTTCCATTTGGAAGGTCTTAAACATACTTATACAATCAATTGGTTTCTTCTTCAGTAAGAAGATTCCAGTAGGGCTTAGTTTTACTCCTATATATTACAGGAAAGAAGCAAACCTGAGTAAAACCAGGAAAGATCTCATTTGTCAGTGTCTCAGAAAAGAAAAGTCATCCTGATTCAGAATAAGCACTGAAACAATCCAACCTGACTCAGTGTTTAATTGCATGGAAGTGATAAGCTAAGAACTCCGCTGCAAGTCATTTCCACCCTCTGAAGAAAATAAGCCATTAATCAATGCAATGTAACATCTATGAATAAGGAAAGCCATTTATTAGTAAGTTTATTTATTGCAGAATCTTCTTTAATTGAGCGGGTTTTTTTTTTTTTTCCCCAGTCTATCAAAAATACATGTGAACTTTGGGATACGAAGGAAGGCTCAACCACAGGCTGACTTAGGACAAAGCACAAGCCGATTAATTAAAAAAAGGAGGGGAGCAGGGAGAGAAATTAATTTTTTCATAGCTTCTGTGCCACTTTACCAGTGTGTCAGAAACTACAACTGATGTACTTAAGAACATATTTCACTCTTTCACTTCTAGTATAACACTTGACAAGGACAAAGGCTTGCTCTATGATAAACAGAGTAAACCAGAATTACGACATAACAGGGTCCCAGAATAGCGCATGTTTTTCTTTCGGGAGAGGAAGAAGAGGAGGAATTCAAAAGATCTTGTTCCGTGTGAAACACAGCCAAAGTAAAACTGCCACAAGTTTCTTAGCCATACCATTTAGACCAGCCGTGACAGTGCTGCCATCCCATTCAAGCAAGGGCTCAGGCACCAGTTTTAAACACACATATCCATAGTTTGCTTATCCAAGCCATGACATATACAAGTGCTTGCAAGATCAGGACTTAAGCTTATGTCAGCCATTTTGGGAGAAGGAGGTGGGATCACAAAATTTCATAAGAAGTGTTGGTTTTGCTCAAGCATTGAACAGACATGCAGAAATGTAGTGTCCAGCTAAAACAGAATGTATTTTCTAAGCCACAGTTATTCAACTAGTGCTTGGACATAATGGCTACATGATTATTAAAGTCCATTTACTATAATTGAGACTTGAATTCAAGGCACTCATTTCATTCATAAAAAACGTATTAGAAGTAATTTTTGCATCCCCATCCATACAAATCTAAATTAGCACATTTTTAGAAGGTACATCTACTGCAATACAACAGAAGGAACATTTAGACCCAAATGCAATAGACAAAGTAGTCCTATTATCTGGCATTACATTTTCCTAAGGCTTTTTCAAGGGAATTTAATCACATCAGAACTAATCAATAGGAGAATGGAAAATATCTTTTTTTTTTTTTTAAACCAAAACGGATCACATAATGAAAGGAAGAAATGCAGCACAAGAACTGATCTGCCCTAGGAGGAAGACAGTGGAAAACAAAGGTAAATAGGAGAAGTCCAGTCTGTTATTTTAAAGGAGGATAAGCAAGCAGCAACTCTTAACGCTAAAGAGTTCTTAGCGGGGAAGTTTAAGAACTTGTCTCTTCTAATTATGTTTACGTAGAACTAAAGTCTACACACTTCATAGAAACATCTAAAACCCCTGTCACTGTTTAATAATAGCTACTTCCAACTCCTGCCATCACCTAATAAGAAAAATCTAAAGAATGATTGTATGAAGGAACACATTGATTCTTCTTGCATGGACAACGGACAACCCAAGTGATATTGTAAAGATTTTATGGTAATATTGGACAGACACGATTGCTCCTAATAACACACAACCATATGGAAATCACATTTTTAAAAGTGTCAGCACTAGTACGACTTCTTGGATAACTGTTTTTACTATGAACCCAAAAACAAATACAAAAGAGATTTATTCATTTAGCCCAATACCCTACTAGCAAGACATTATTCCATACAGTACATCTTCTGGAAGTAGAACAGTGCACAGGGACTGACATGTATGTAATGAGGCCTGTATTTACAGCTGAAATGTCTTTTTGCTCTCCCAGTGCAAACAAAAATAAGTTCAACAACCTATCCCAAAGTAAAGGGGCAGCATAAGGAGACCTTGAGCCATCACTAGAACAAACACTGAACAATAACTTACTCTGTATGACTTCAGCCATGAGTCAGATTTGTGCGGAGCTCTCAGCACAAATCTGTTTAATCAACATACAGAATCAGAAGTAAAGTGATTAAATCTCTGCATGGCTATGAAAGCCAAAGGATAGTTCTACCAGGTGTAGTGTGCACACTGTTGAGTGCAACAATAAAGTAAATGTTCACAGCTATTTTCCATGAATCTTGTCAGTATGCTAAGAGATTTAAAATAGTACAACTTTAAAATACTTTAAAATAGTATAAATAGCACAATAGTACTTTGAAAATAGTACTAACTCTCATATCATTTATATAAAACAAAGTTTAAGTCAAAGAAACCATCTAATTAACCTAAAGCTCAAAAGAGCATGTTTTTCCAAACAAGCATTGTAAAACAGGCTAAGAATTCAGGCTGCCTTTTCAAGACAGCTTTTCAAGGTTACTAACTTCTCCAAAACAAAAAAAATGCAGGAGATTTGCAGAGTAAATTAGATTGTTTCAGTTGTTCTGCGGATGCAAACGTTAAACACTGAGGAGAGCTTACTAATAAATGAAGATACTGTTGATGAGACCCAGGAATGGAAGACCGTAAGGCTCATCTCTCTACAGAACACAGAATCAGGCGGAGTGGGAAAATTGTTCAGGAGTCATCCTGCTTCTCAACAATTGAATTGTGAAGGACAAAGAGACCACCCAGTCATTTTTCTTCATTCAAATAAATAGCTTTCCTTCACTACTATACAAGAAAGGGATTCAAATTTTTAATAGATGTTTAGAGTGGGAGCTGTTTTGAGTAATTTAGGCAAACATTCACTGTATATTCAATCTACATCCACATACACATTTTATGGAATTAAAAAGTAAACAAAGCAATTTTTAAACCTGATACTTCAGCACAGGTAAAATTCATTTCCAAGTTAAAATTTCTAACTTTTTACATTTCTTTTGTTATACCTTCAGATCCTGAGACAAGTCATACCACAAAAGCAAAACAAACTGAAACCAAAGGTTACGCGTAATTACTTTGAAGTTGCAACAAACCACACATTGTCATAGATTTTGACCCTGGGAAGTCAAACAACATTTTGTCAGGGGTTCAAAAGATGCCAAAATTCACACATAAATTTAAAATTCTAATTAAAAACAAAATAAGAAAATCTAATGATCATCTTAATCTATGAAATATCAACATTCCCTTCATTTTGCTCCTTTATTGTTGTTATCTACCATGACTTTAAACTTAATGTTTATCCCAACCTCTTATTTCTTTGTAAAAGGCAAGTCTTTCTAGACTAGAAACTGCAGATACGTGAATTAGTTCCAGCTCTGAAAGCAATTTCTCCATTGCAGCATGAAGCTCTGTATAAGCTGATTTCCTTGCCAAGAAGCAGGGTAAATTAACCCCCCTAAACCATCTAGCTATGCTTAGATTAATTCCAGAATATAAACTTGCTCATTAAAAAAATAGCTCCGGCATATCTAGGTTGCAGGCTTTAGCACAGTCCTAATTCAGTCCCAGTTGAAACTTTAGTTGCCAACATATTACAACAGTTACTAAACAGTAACACAGACCAGACAGAAATTATTAGGACTGTGCGGTTAGTAGTGGTACTAGGGAAAAAAAAAAAAAAATGAGGACACTTCGGCTGTTATAAAAGCCTTAACTATACTTTACTAAACAGAAAACTCAGTTTCTGAAGCACTTGTGCTCCAAATTTAGAATTAATCATCACTGCTTTACACCATTTGCAAATAAATACCATGTAGAAGCTGAAATCAGCACAATGTCACCTTACCTTATACAACTGTAATGTTTGAAAGTGCTGGCTGCTTTCTGACATTCCAAGCACAGCTGAATAGCTCCTGGATAGTCTTCTTCCTTAGGATAAAACACAATGGAAAGCTAATGCAGTTTTTGAAGTAAAAACTGAAACACTTACTTTTGTCAACCGTGTATAAATATTAAGAACAAAATATTTCTCCTCGTATATCTATGCAGTATGAAGTTAAAAGGACAATGGTGAGGTTTTATTGCAGAACTTTATGTGCAAATAATTTAAAATTAGAAGCAGGCAGCATGTTACCAGTTCTGATTATTATGTTCTCTTACACAACTGGCTCTATTTTGCTTAATTATGCATGTGTACAAAATGCATCAGAAAGCTCTTACTACAAAAGAAGTAGTATTTTCTCAGTTAACTCTCGAACCTTTGTTAATACAATATAACCTATTCACGAGTAAGTGAAGTTGTAAGTTCAGGCACAAGCAGCCTGTATGTAAATTTCATAAAACTAAAAAGAAAAGGGAGAAACTCCTCTATTAAACACATTCTATTTAGTTCGTCACTTTCTAAAGCTAATTAGAAATGAATTTAAGGCAAGTGGCTCACAGAAGACCGCAGGAAAAAAGGAAAATACATTTAAAAATATGGAAAAATTGCCACAATTTATAAGGAGAATATCCTATATTGCAGACAAATCCATCGGGAAGTACATGAAGATGCCAGGACTAAACAACACATCACCAAAATGAACGAAAAAATAAAACTGCCTCCCTCACCTAAATGCAAAACCATAGCATCTTCCAAACAGAACATGGGCAATCGCTTGGGTTTAATTACGATTTTAGTCTTCTATTGGGCCAGAAAGGCTCTGGGAAGAAGGAAAAATCTTCTTTTAACTGTTAAGAGTTCCCCCCCCTCTTTTTTTATCCTCCTAATTACATCCATTATATTATGTGCTTCAGAGAGCCCAAATGCAAAGCTGTTCCGGGAATTTCAAAGTCATTGACTAAAGAGTGAAACCACAAGGGCAATTTACATTCAGCTATTATCGTAAGGGAGTATCTGAAATGAAGTTGTTTTTAACAGCAGCATTCTAATGCAGATCAAGTTTAGCTACAAAAAACATTAGCCATTAAATGAAAACAGAACAGGCCTAAGTTGGCCTAAAATGACTGATGCATTTACAACTCTTTGCACCTCTCTCCGTTGGAGACCTGGCACTTCATCCATTAAGTCTAGTAAAACAGTAAAGTACCAAGTTTCACAGGCTAACTCGCCACAACGCAAATAGATTCTCTTTCCAAGTTGGCTCTATTTAGATTATATCTCCTCTGAGCATACGGTCTCTCAGTTGAGAGAATTAAGAAGTGAACCTATTCACTTTACACCACCTTACTTCTCACATATGAATGTCACCTTTAGGATCACACTCACATCTCTCCATCTCGCATCTGAAAGCCCGCTTGCATAACACACCTTACTAATATATTCCAGACGCAGCTGATCCCTGTAAGTTATTATAGCTTCCTGTCTGGTCTTTTTTAATTAGGAACCCTATCTAAATGTTCCTCTCTACTAGTAGTCTTCATGCATATTCCAAGCTACTACCTTCCTCTTGGAGTAAAGACAATAAATTGGCCAACAATAAATGGGCTCCTTATTTGGGAGCAAACGTTTACCTTAGCTCTAAAACTTAACTTTGCTGGAAAGCATAGTTCCAGACCTTAATGTTTACTGTTGATTTTTAAGTTATGGCACTCTGACTTTAAGGTATGTGTGTGGATGTAACACCCACATCTCCGTCTAAAGACAACTCCTACCAGCAGACAGTGAAGAGCTGATTTCCTGTGCGATACAACAAAGCAGAAAAGGTAAGCTCATCATTACACAGGGCTTCCTGAGTAAAAGACAATGTTCATGCTGCCTTGGCTGAATTAACGTGCTCTTGATTGGTAAAGAATAACTAAGCGAACTGAGATACAATATATTACCCAAGACAGAATTATATTCAAAGAACATTAAGAGTTAAAATTAGTAAAACTCAATCCGTAAAATGAATAACTAGGGATTATCATAATGATGTTCCATCCAATATCAACCGTAAACATTTGGCAAATTAGTAAGTCAGTACTGTTACACTGCCTGATTAAAATATAACTGCCAATAAATTCATAAAATTGACTTTCATACAATGTAATCACCTTAAGATAAGGTCTTATCTTCATTCTATGCAATCTACCACATTCTTAGGCAGTACGTATACTGCAGAAGTGGAATTTTCAGTGGCATGGCCTGAACGCTACAGTGTCTCCTGCAACTGAACATTAAAAAGTTAATCCACCGAATAAGAAGAGAAGCTCCTACACTTAAAAATAAAAGGCTAAGTAGGGAACCTGTATATAAATTTGTACAGTGATACACTAGGAGTATTTTATCCAGAACATACATAGTCAACAATCAGCTAAATCTCAACTTCCTTTTCCTTCCAAATATCAAGCCAACACCAGAAAAGGAGCATGTGGGTGTTGGGGCAGGAGGGAGAGGAGGAAAGGAGATGTCACAGCACTCTTATTGAACTAAAGCTAGCCTCAGGACTCAGATCTAAAGTAAAGAGAGGACTGAGCCTTTGATAGAAAATATTGTTTTTCCTGAACAGCAGTATTTAGCTTGATAGAAAGCATTTCTCACGTTTAAAACTTCAATAACAGGGGAAAACAACGTTTATTTCGCCTCACGTACACACACAACAGAGCCTGTTAGAAACAGGAAAGAAGGCAGGGACAGAATTAAAAACGCTAACAAAAGTAAACTTGGAATAGCTTTGAAATATAATAGTCTGGCAGGAACTTACCTCCAACATTTCACTTAAACGCACATCAGTTCTTTGCTAAAAAATAAAAAGAAAATAGTGTTAACTACATAGAAATTAAGAAAAGTATTTTACCATTAAATCAAAATAATTGTACGTACCAGTGTTTTTATTGTTCTCAGAGACTTCAGTAGTCCAATAAGTAACTGTCGTTTCCTTTGATTTGCAAGAAGCCCCAAACTAGCTTGTGTAAAGCCTTCCTTTGCAATATTTAAGTGCCTGTAGAAGTTAACAAGGAACATGACACTTGTCAATATGTAAAATAGAATTTATTTGAAATAAGCTTTATCAGGTACCTCAAAATACATGCTAGAAAAAAACACTGTCAGCATTACTAAGAAAATCCAGAAACTAAAATGGCATCAACAGACAATTAAGAAGGTATGCTTCCCTTTCTGCAGAATCTGTCTGGGGAGCAATGGCCTATCCCAAAAGGTTTCTGTTTAAACAGAACTTTAGTCCAGCTCTTCACCAGGACTTGCAAGAGAAGCAGCAACTGATACATGTTTTAATATCTTTAACTACTATTGTTAATTCCTTTCAGCACATAATCAAGAAATACTATCAGCAAACAAGTTTCCCAGATTTATGGTCACCTTCTTAAATCCCCTTTTCCCCTTTCAATTTCTGCCATTAATCAAGCAAGATACCTTCTTCCATTTGTGCAAATGACAGCTGCTAACTGAAGGCCAGTCTGCAACGACGTGACACGTTCAAGTTCCTACAGAGAGGCAACAAGTTAAAAACACAAGTTGAAGTCGTACAATATTCTAGCAAGGACCAGTGATTAGCAGGATTTATCATGAGATGTTTTAGTGACTTTGTCCAATTACTTTATATTTTACTTGTTTTCTCATTTTATAGGTACTAAACACTGGAATATAACATTAAAATAAACTATCTTTTGAAATGTAATTCTCTTTTTAAGAAAGATACTTGAAATCTATTTCAGAAGGACCCTCAATATCTATTTCTTCTACACTGATGCACAGCACATTTAGCGTAACAACCTCTATATCATTAATAGAATGCACCACAACGGAACAATCAAAGCTTCAGGAACAGAGGCACAAGGCTTAATTTAATATGCCAGAGAACAGCATCTTTTTAAAAAAAAAAAAATCACCGAACACACATATTTTACACAACAATTTCTTGTTCAGGAGCACTTGTGTTCTAGCAATTTAACAGATATCGCTTCATAATGAACCTTAATTGTATCCTGTTGAATTTCAGCTGAAAACTCTTCAGCACAGGCAATATGAACTTAGCTTGATTTCGACTTTGTGAAGAACGTAGTATAATCTGAACACCTTAAAATAATCAAGTTTTTAAACAAACATACTAGCACTTCTTTTGTTAGGAACAGCATTGCAGAAAAGTCAGCTCTCACCTTCACCCCATTTTAAGAAAAAATAACCTTCCTTTAACACTGCTAGTCATTCCAAAACATATCAAGCACCTTCCACAGGGATAGGGGAGACTTGCTTTGAAAATTAAAATGATTATTTAGAGACAAGACAAGCTAAAAATAGTTTAGATTTTAAATTCAGCTTAATATCATCTCCTGGTCAAAGTTTCCAAAGACATAAGTAATTCTCATAAATCACTGAGCTCGATGTTTCAACAAAATAGTTCTTCCTTGATGTTACTAACTTTGCTTTTGGAAAAATTAGAGCTCACTTGCTTATTTTCATAATACTTTAAGAAACCAAATGCAAACATCACTGTCCTCAGCATTTATGATATACTTTTCACTGAAAATATACTTTGAATAGCTGGAACATTTGTAAAAGGTTATTTCCTTTTTCACGATGAAACATTCCATTTAAGGCATCCTTCCATTTAAATTTTGCCTTTTGCAAAGATTCTGTAACACTTGTCCCTGAAACGTAGCCAGATGTAGAGCCATCAGGAGACAGCGCAGTCTCAGGTCCCCAGAGAAGCAACCTTCAGTTCAGCCTGTAGGGCTGAATAGCCTTTTTCCTTTCTGACAGCCAGACTATTTTCCACCTGATGGCTGTTCCAAAAGCATCCCTTTCCTTCAAAAGGGAATAAAAACCCACTGCCTTGTGTTTGTGTCCTGCCTTTCACAGGCCATACACAGGTGTCTGCTAGACCAGCATTTCATATTAAAAGTGGTGTGCAAACCAGGACTTCCCCACACATTTCTTTGCACAGTGGTAACAGACTGAACTGCACCTTTTTTCCTCTAATATCCTGTTACTGTAATTTGATACTGAATTTGACTTGCCACGATGAAACGCCCACAACACATCATTAAATTCACTTCATGAGTTAGTGGAAAGGCCAGTCCTAAGTTGCCCACCAGAAATCTCTGATGCTTAAGTCCACTGACAAGAGCAGCTCTGTATAAGCTTGTGTCCATACCTAACGCACTTAATTGTACAGAGGATGATTGACTTAATCAGGCAAATATACATTTGAGATTTTTTTTAAAGAATGTTACTGGCATGATGGATCTTTAACTGTCCCTTTGGAAACACCAGAAAGAGCTCTTTAGTATAAGCCACACACAAAACCTGCGCCTTACTGATATTGCTCAGATAAGAAATTAGTGTGCTAATTTGTTTATATCTGTTACATTTGGCATTTTAAAATTACACAGCAGAAACGTGAGAAGCACATTCTCCACAAAACTATTATGGATTGAGAGGGGGCTTTCAAAGTGAAGCTGCCAGGTTTAGAAAAAAAGCACCCAAAAAACATTATTAATTCTGAGCAGACACAACAGCAAACTATACCAATGAGGTGGGATGCCACGCAATTACCCTCAGCCACCACAGCACTACCCAGCCTCCTTCTGCAATAGACTGCAACTCAATCCCTTTACCTAAAACTGAAATATTACTCTCCTAGCTTTTTTTTTTTTTTTTTTTTTTTTAAAAACTCCAGCTGTCGCAGGAGATGAGGCAAGCAATGATCACCCCTCCATTCCTCCCCTGACACCAGCACTCTTCCTTCTGCCCAGCAAAATGACAGAGCACAGATGCTGCACATGCAAGGTCACTTAAGCAGGACGTGCGGGCCATGGGAGGCAAGTGAGCAGAAGAGGAAATTATGCTGTCAGGACAAAAGAGGAAAAGAACTCCAGCCCCATGACATCTACCAAGGGTTAACACCCAGGAGGTACCAGCCCCAGCCTGAAGCAAGAATGAGAAGCAGGAGGCAAGGGAAGGAAGGATGTAACAGGAAGAAAGTTAACAAAGGCAGAAAAAGACCTCCATCACCAAAGGCAACCATCATCGCCCTCCCAAGCTCTCTCCAGCTTCTTGACCAAAATGAGAATTGCAGCAATCAGTGCTGTCACAATGCTTTTTTCAGTATTATTGCTGTGAAGGACTCAGAAAGCATGACCCATCACGCTGGTTCTGCATCTTCCCAGTTTTCAAATGTTTCCTTTGAAAGGCTGACAGTTCTCACGGCTCCTGGTCTTGAATCATTCACCCAACACTGCAGAACGCTACCTACAGAGCAACAGAGCCTATAGAACACTACCTAGGCAACCTATAGAGAAGGCCTATGGCAGTCACCCCCCCTCACACTATGTCCAAATGTACAGGTCCCCCAAATCTGAAGACAACACCAAAGGGAGTAGCTGAAGCGTTAGTAGCCATGATACAAGACACAAGGGAACAATTAATTCTATAAAGTAGCAAAGTAAATTTTTTCTATCCTCTTCAGCAAGGACCCCAGCTTTGTCGTTAAGAGCTGAGGGCATTCCACATATCATTGCGATGGCAGACTTCTTAGGTTCTGCCAGCATTAGAGATAGTAAAAAGAACCAGTCCAGCATTTTGCCTTTGAGATCACCAAACTCAAGTACTGCTGGACTACCACAGGGAACACATTAAAAAGGCAGCATTATGTGAGGAGTTACAGACACCCACAACTACCCATCACAAGATAGTTCTCAGACTACTTTGATAACAATCCACTTTTCCCTCTGCAGAATTCTTACTGTCATTTCCTGGGAAGATCAGATAAAATCAGGCTGAGCTAATGAAATGTAAAGGGGCATTATCAAAAACAGATGGGTAGAAAAAACATCTTCTCTTTAGAGAACCATTATGATAGCTGTTCGTCCCATTACGTTTTTGGCAGCGAGGAGAGAGAAGCCGTAGCCATGTTTTATTGCAAGTTTCTGAAGCAGTTACACTTTGCTTTGCTCTCAGACTTCCTGGACACACTGAGGCTCCATATTCAGCTCAATCATCTCTTTCACACTTCCCTCCCATGACTGCCTGAGATTAGTGGCAGGGTTCTGGTTAAGGGTTTTTAAGGAAGATCGTTGCTGTACTCTTTTAAGGAAGGGGATCAGAAACCATTCCTCAGCACTGGTACCAGAGAGGCTCCTCTTCAAGTCCAGGTGCCAGTCAAGCCTGTGAACTCATGTTTTCAGAAAGCTTTCTTAAAAAACGATTATATGTAAAAGCCTTTAGCATCTTAATGGACCTCCAGCTCAAAATGTGCTTCGTTCTTTTCATTTTACAGATAGAGGCTTAGCATACACACACAACTGGTTCTAGCCCGGCTGCTAGCATCTCCACTAATCAGTTACTAGATTTAATGCTGTCCAACCCCATCCAAACAATATCAGCATCAGAATAGCACAAAATGTACCCCAGTCAGAATTTAGGACTTTCTGCACCAAGCTCTAAAAGCCAGTAATTCTTTGTACTGTGCATATATTGCACCTAACAAAGAAGCCCTTCGAAATTTGTTCTCTTTGCTAGTTCAGCAGAACTTGACTTAAAGACACAATGTGAAACCTAGTCAGACCATTCTAGATACTTGAGCTGTGTTTAATTTAGGCAGCAATGTATCTAGAACCACTGATGTTAGCAGCCAGTCTGAAATTTAAAATAAAACAATCACTCAATACCTATGGACTAAAAATTACAGCATCTTATTAGTTACCAGAAGTATTAAAACAAAACAAAATCCCCTATAACACATTAGCTAGAGTTATTTTAATTCATGGAAGGCATTTACTGTTAAAAAGTGACTGTTGGTTGTCTTACCTTAACATATGCAGGCTGCTTTTCAAGAATCAAGTCTGCAACTTTCTTAGATACCTTCAAAAGGAGAACATTAAATGTGATACAGAGCAATCTCAGTAAAGTAGGCAGCCCCTATACTATTCAGTAAGAAGTTTGTGATTCCATGTCATTTACTTCTGTAATCTTCATATTTATTAATAAATACGCCACAAAATAGTAAAAAATACTAAAAATGGCATTCAGCTTTCCTTGGGAGCAAGAAATACATACATACATATGTGTACAATTCCATCTCGGAATTAGTGGGCATTTTTAAATTAATCCCTTACCCCTCTCCTTCTAGAATATACTAGAAAGAAAAATAGGAATAATATGGAACTCTAGATCTGCTTATATTCTGCTTACTCTACTTGCTAGAGCACACATTCAAGTTAGATCTAGATCTGGATATCTAGATTAGCCGTGAGGACACTTACCTTTCCAATAGATACTGTATTAGATAAAAACCATGTCAAAATGAACATTCACTCTGCACCTATTTTTCTTTACTACGCAGAACATCCATATTTTAGCATTTTATCCACTGTTCTGAACTACCAGTAAATGGAATGCTACTCAGAACTGCTGTCTGTACTGAATTTAAAAAAGGGTATTTTTACTTTGGTTAGTCTCTTGTGCGTAAATGCACAAAAAAAAAAAAAATTCAACAGCAACAGTTTGGTACAAAAAGTCAAGGTTGAAAAGGTCTTCAAAGTATTGACACCATCAACTGGCAATCTGGACAAAGGGCACATATCTAGCTACCTCCTAGCTTTCCTACCTCCATATTTAAAAAAATAGAAATAAAAAGCCAGAATCACCAAATAAGTTTAACCTTTCTGAGTTGTTCTATAGATAATGCAGCTTTCTTCTGCAGGGCAGCAAAAGAACCAGCCACTATGCAGAGAAAAAAAGGCAATAAAGGACATTATTAGGATAAAAGCTACACAGCCCGTATCATCTTGGGGCTTTGAAGTTTACTTCTGTGCACAGTCTACATCCTGTGAAAACTGTCACCTTCCCTATCAACATCTTTCCAGTGTCTTGTGCATGCAGATATATGCTTCTCCTAAAATTTTTACAAGACATGGAACCCCCTAGTTCAAATCTAATACTTTGATTCTTCACTGTAAAGGGATTCATCAAGCAATACACAGGAATAAAAGGAGCTGCATTCTGCTCTCAGTTTTTGTACACTGCTTTTTTTGTTTTACAGGTTCTCAACTACCCATAAAAAATATCTTCAACTCTATCAAGCATCTGCCACAGAAAATTTTTGTTGTTGTGCCAAACTTACTGATATTACCTTTCTAATCAATTCTCTCTCTCTCTTTCTCTCGTCTGGATACACCATCTTATGTCAGGTTACTTCCTTTCACTCACAAAATGGTACCACCCCTTTTGGCAGCCTCCAGGCAATTGTAAGGTTTTAATTTTTAATTCTTAACCTTTGGAATTCAAAATTGCAATTGTTAGCAATGAAACTGGCTGCAATTTTCAATCTATGGAAGATACAATGTTGCATGAGGGGATCTTAAAAGCAATCTTTTCCTTAATCAGATCAGAAGTAATGATTTTATTTCATCTCCTGATTTAAAAAAAATACATAAATAAATACTAGGAATATCAGCCTATTAATTAAAATGGAGCCAAACAGATGCACAATTAAAAAAAAAAGATTATCATCTGTACCAAGATGATTACTCAGATTAAAGCCAGGATGATAAACACAGCAAAGTCGTCTTGAGTAGGTCCAAATGCATTCAGTCGAACAGAAAATTGCAGTGGAAAAAACTACAAGCAAATACTGAGTCTACAGTGACCCCTAGAACATAGACATGTAAAAGGCAGCAAGAAATGGAAGAGCTGGAGCTCTTTTACAAATAACTTACAATCATTTCAATACTGTATATTACAGAAATTTAAAAGCTGGAATTATCTCTAAATCACTACTGTAAATTCATATGACAGCTACTGATGCATGCACTGAAACTGGAATACAGCTAATGAAAAAAAGCAGTACATATTCTTTTTCAAAAGCATAGATTCCAGAGATACTGCGTGATCCGCGGATAGACTTCTTGAGTCCTGTATCTAATAATCTATTCACGATCAGGGTCAAGAGAATTTTAGGGATGAACTAATAACGTACAGAATTGTGCAACACTGTCTTGCATGGAGAACATCAACGTCCTTCAAGACGGACAGTAATCTAAAAGATTTATCACAAGACAGACAATAATTGAGACAGGAAAAGAAAACATGTATCAGTCTCTCACTCTGCCCAGGAAATACTACACAAGGAGTTAATACACAGCATGCAAAAAATGTTAATAACTCAGCACATTCCCAAGGAGGAGAATAAACCCAAATGACAATCCTTTCCTACAGCAGAATCATATTTAGACTAGGTTAAGGAAAGCATGAAGAGGCCCAATTGGGGAAAGGAGGCAGAAGGGGAAGAAAAATTGGACACATGCTTCTTGTCAGAATTTTTGGCTTTGAGGAAAGAAAAAAAACAATTCAAAGGAAAACAAGCCTGGGCCATATTTCCGAGAGACCTAACAATCAGTGCTCTCCCCTACTACCCATTAGCCGCATGCAGCTTCCAGTTCACATGATTCAGTAGCAGCATTGAAACTACTCCCTCAGCTGCAGCTGTTTCCAGCTGTGTATGTACAACAGCCAAGACACCGATAACAGGTACAGGAATTATTCAGCACGCCTCTATGAAGTAGTCTCTGAGCTTTGAGTGTGTTTCCCAGCAAAACTAGATCACCACCAGAGGTCCTCTTAAGACTTTTCTCTGAAATAAAATTAGCTGTTTCAACTTCCTTCTCTTTTTTCTGTCCTTCTACATTTTGAGAAAGGATATCCATTTGATCAACTTTTCACTAATACCTTAAAAAATTTTATAAGCATAGGTTTATTCCAGGAAAAGCTGTCTTAGAAGGAACTTGCTCTCCATATAACAGATCTACTATTTTCCTTCTGTACGTTTCCCTCTAAATTTAAAGATGTGAATTCGGCTTATAACTGGCAGCTATTCTCTAAATGCCTTTGCTAATACATCAATTTCTCATACCACATTATTCACATTTAAAAGTGCAATGAATCAGTAGTTAATGTATGAAAAGAAAAAAAAGCCTGAAATGTAATGAGCACTTTTCAGAAACTGCAATTCTGATTATCCTCCATACATTATAGTTATTACTCAGATTTCATTAATTTTACTATATAATAATCAAATAACAGTATTCAATAGAAATTCTTGAAGAGAGTTAACAAATTGGCAAATGCAAAATAAGGCAAAATACCAACTCTAAAGATTAAAGAGTTTAAAAAAATATTATGTTTTATGTTGCCAAAATTCCTTCAAAACAAGAGATGCTACAGCACTGTTCAGTTCTGCGATGAACATTTACTATTTGTCTTCCAATATACTGGAAAAGCTGAACACAGACAGTCATTTTTAAAGAAACAGCTGGCACGTGATTCTTCAAAACATACTTATCACCATGACTTATTTAACGATTTTCCATTTAAAAAAGCACATAATTTTAAGTTAAGTGGAAGATTGCTTAACAGCTTATGTATTTAAGAAATGAAATGAACTTTTTCAGTTCCACTTCTAGATATACTTACTGTCAATATAACAAATTACCCAAGGGGACAAAGGAAACAGTTTTACTTACAGCAGCTTGCTGTTGCTTCAATTTGTCTCTATACTCTTCCAGTTCTTGAAGACTAAGTACTGGAGGAAGCTTCTGCATGTAAACAATAAATTAAATTCAATGAAAAATAAATGTACCTAAAATACACATGCAGCATTAACTAACTAATCTATTTGATTAAAGAAACATTCTTTTGGTCTCTGCAATCTAATCTGTATTCAAATGATGGATACTGAAATAAATCAGTGTAAAGATATACAAGAAAATACCACAATTACCTCAAAGTTCCCCTATTTTAAGCAATATTTACACATACACACACAGACACACCCCTAGTCATTAAAACTACTATGTCTCAATCTATTAATTCCGGCTGCTAAAGAAAATATTCAAAATACAAAACAGGTTTTTTTTGTCCCAACTATTTTGGCCTTCTCACTATGGATAGTTCATATGAGGGAGTGCACGTTAGCACAACAGCCCGATGTTCTTCCATGTTAAAAGAAAAGACTCCCTACCAATAATGTATGAAAGACCCACACAATCACGAGACGGTCCAGGGGACAGGGGGAAAAAAAAAGTTTCGTTATCAAGGCAGAATACAGGGAACAACGAAGAGGGGATTATTAAACGAAGCAGACTTCTGACTCTCATTTGTCAAAATGACTGCCTATTATTTTAAGAAGACAACTTACCTCTAATTCATATTTCACAATATCAAAGGAATCATTGGAAAAATATACTTCTTCAATGCTGTTAATTATTTCTTGCTGAACTTGAGGATCAGTTGGTTCTTCCCGTAACTCTCGGAGCTCCTCCTTCACAAAACACAAAAGGATTCCCACAATGTAACATCACATCCTAGCAGGAACAACGCTTTACCAAAGCTAGTAGTTTTCAAAAGCCATTTATAATTTCAGCACAAGAAGCAATAGCAGAAAAAGATCTGTGAGAAAAAGATCAGCTCGTTCTTCCTATTACAAAGAGCAAGACATCCAAAACTTGCTAAGAACAAAGCGCAGACTTCACTGCCACAGATTATCTAAATCCTTCTTAATCAACACGTTTTATCTGTAACACGTGACACAAATGCAGTGAGTCCATAGTTTTTCTCCTGAGGTTCAGAATGTTGTAGAAATTCTTGTAATAAACTAAAAATAGTTTGGCAAGCTGTTGCTGCAACTCCACCAGAGGGCACGTGAGGAAGGGACAGGCGAACACTGCACCAGAAGTTAACACACTCCAGTTTGACACCAAAGATACTAAACACAATCATGCATGTATAAATAATATAATTTTCATCTAAAACACATTAAACATAGGATACGCATGATAAGGGGCAAGGTACATTAAAGTAAGCTATCTGTCATATTTTAATTGTTCTAGAGTGATCCATTATACATACATAATTTATTTGGAAAAACTCACACATCACTCTCAGCAAATTAGTTTTCTTCATTTAAATATCAAAGAAAAAAAACAATAAAAAATATAATAGCTTCTTAAAAGCCAGAGTGTGTTAGGTTTTTGTACAGAAGAATGTTGTTTCTGTGATTTCAAAACAAGTTATAATACTCAGAATATAATCAGTATGCTAAAGACCTGAACTGGTCATTAACTCTACAGGGGATGGTTAAAGTCTAAAATGATAAAAGAGTAAATGATAAATAAGCTCCATAAATGAGCTGCCCAGAAGCTGCAGCATCCTTTGCTGCACACCACAGGCTCAGGCTCTGTGGACAAAAGCATTACAAACACGCACACGTACACTAACACATTTCTAACATGTCTGAGATGCCTTCTCAACAGCCAATCTTTGTCAGGCAAAACACTATTCCACAGGCCAAACAGTATGATATACCCTATAGGGTCTAATGCAAATTCAGACACATTAGTGTCATCAGCAGACACGAGGAATACACTGGACACCCAAAAAGGGCCAAGGAAACCTGTCACCTTCAGACTGCTAGAAGTGATATTTATGAGAGTAATATAGCAAAAGAGACATCCAGGAACACACAGCATATAGCTTCATGCACCTTTTCCAAAATCCCTTTCAAATGATTATCAGAACTAAAAAAAGATATCTTTACAAAAATACACCTTCCCGATATTCTCTTCACAGAGAGGGGTCACTGCTGTGGAAGCAAATAAAATGCTTGATCTTTCCCGAACAGGCATCATTCTCCCACTGTTTCTAAAGAAAGGCTCAAACTTAACAAGCACAATAGGAAAACTTGCATGAGGAACCTTTAAACTGCATTTGCAACCTGCAGCTCCCATGCTAAAACAAAACTGGTGACTCGGGGGGAAAAAAAAAAAGCATGTTGAAGCTCCTCCTTAACAGCATAAAAGCCACTATTTGATTCAAGATATAGGAGAAATATCTTTCCATCTGCTGCTTTTGAGGAAAAGTAACTCAGCCCAAGCTTCTTCATATAGGACCAACATCACAAATTTAATATTAAGTCAAATCAAACGTATTTATCATCTCTGGCATAAATCTACTTAAATACAATCAAAAAGGATTGATTTGGCACATTATTTCCAATGTCTTTTAATGAGACAATCTTCCCGTCACCAAAATCTTAAGAAACTGGGCTAACTGTTCAATCATTAACTGTGGCCTATCTCACTGAAACAAGAGCCAAAGAGACTGACTTGTTATTTTCAAGATGAGATAAAGCAGTTAGTTAACAGATCCAGAGAAGACTTGGCTTCATTGATCCACCAAGCCCCCTGTATTTTTAGGGAAGAAAGAATTGTTTGTGGAGGAGAAAGAAAAAAGAAAAAGTAACAAATAAACCTTGAATTTTTAAATCAGAAGAATGACCTTTGTAAACCCAGGCTGGACAAGTGTCACCACCTTTACTTACCTATACTACCTTTCAACTCAACCCTTGTAATTCGCACTGATAAAAGCCATGCCATTAACCACTTGCATTTTTACATGGGGAAACGGAAAGTCTACCTTCTTTGCACAAAATTTTTCAGATTTCAGATTTTTCTTGGACCAGCTAGGGAGGTCTAAACAGAGACGCAGATATGACTTTCAAAAAACTAAAGATATATACAACCCTCCCCTCTGTCACAATCTCCCACAGAAGGTTTCTCTCAGTAACCCAGCGCTTCCCACTAGCCACAACAGACCAAGCGCCTCCCCCACGCTTCCTATGTTGGACTCCTCGGCCACCATTGGCCCCCTCCTCTTCCCCAGAGGCTGCTCCAGTAGAAAGGAATACAACACTTTTATTAGAGACCTTGAAGTGAGGAACACCAGGTTAGTCTTTCGCAAAAAGATAAAACTCTGATCACATTCCTCAGCATGGGAACGTAACCCTGACGAACGGAACCAGCAAGTCCAGGTGTCCCACCATGACTCGAGGCCTTCCGGCAAACAGAGGGGCTGCAGAGGGGCAAGGCGGCAGCGTTCTCCATCACCAAGGGCCCGGGGTTTATTTCACTGGCTGAAAGGCATCAGATTTTAGATTAATTCACTAACTGCCTTACTTTGTGCCTCGATCAAAACGAGATAAAAGCACGCGCGTTCCGAACAAGAGCGCGACGCCGTGAAGCACGGCACTGTTTTCCTACGCAGTCACGGGCAGCCGAGGGGCGACAAGCGAGCAGTCCTGCAAAACATCCCAAGGAGCCACCGGCACAGAAAGGCAGGGATCTAGCTCTGCTAAAGCACCTACCGCTGGACGGGGGAGGGAAGGAGGGAAGGAGGGGGACGGGGAAGAGTAAAAAAAAGGCCAGGAGCACTTGCTTGCTCGGATGCAGAGCGAGCAGGATTTCAGGCTGGAAGAGGCTCCATGCCCAGCGGGGCGAAGCCATCAAGCGG